GGTCGTTGTGGGGCTGCAGGCGCCAGCCCTGCTCGGCACCCGGGTCCTGGCGGCGTTGGTGCAGCCGGGTGACCCGCGCCCGTCTCCCCAGGACGGGGCGGCCAAGGTCACGTGCCTGGCCTGGGCCCACAACAACGCCAAGTTCGCGGTGTGCACGGTGGACAGGGTCGTGCTGCTGTACGACGAGCACGGCGAGAGGAGGGACAAGTTCTCCACCAAGCCGGCAGACGCCAAGGTACGGCAGCGTCTGCTCGCTGCCTCCCCTGTGCAGCCGCGACATGGCACGGACCCTGCGCGCGGCGGCTCGTCCCGCGTGGCCCTCCATGTCCCTGACCGCCAAGTACTTGCATATACATACACACGTGTGTGTAGGGGTGTCGAAGGGATTGTGCTAGAGACGTGCATGCATCTGAGCATGTGTTTGTAAATGCACACGCCTCTAGGAGCATGCGCCTGTGTGTGTGGCTGGGCTGGCCACGGTGATTGTCTGCGTGTGCACGCGAGGGAACGCTGCTGCCTGCGGGTGTGACCGACCGCAGCCCCCGCAGCACCAGGGCTAAGTGCCCGCGTGCTTTCCGAGAGCAGCCCGTGCAGAAAGGCGGGCAGGCTACCCCATCCCCCCACCCACGCGGGTGTCGTGGTTGCACTGGAGTGCCTGATCCACCCCCGTCTCGTTATCTCCGTCCGAGCAGCAGTCCCCCTGCCAGGTGCCCGAGTATGCCAGGTCAGCGTGTCCCTTGAGAAGCTGCCTCTGAGAGGAGGATGAGCTTTCTCCTTGCGCGAGGCTCTTGTAGGACACGTCACATTAACCGTCTCACCTGTGGTCCGTGCTTCTTCTTTTCTCGCCACAGTATGGCAGGAAGAGCTACGTGGTGAAGGGCATGGCCTTCTCCCCGGACTCCACCAAAATCGCCGTCGGACAGACAGATAACATCATTTACGTCTACAAGATCGGGGAGGACTGGTGAGGCCCTCGGTGTGTTTATTATACCCGTGATCCCTCTTGCATGGGGCTGCCCATGGGAGGAGCGGGGTGACGGCAGTGCTCCCCCTCTTTTCTGCTAGTACAGGAATGTGCCTTGTGTTCCTCAGGCCCTGCTCTTGGCTTGGCCTCACTCTGTATGAACCCTCAACTCCGCTTCCAGCCACAGCTTCCCCTGCTTTGTACCAGGACTTGCTTGGGAGACTGGTTGTTTCAGTTGAGCAGCATCAAGGTTCCTCTTCAAGCACCAGGCATGCCCCTGTCCCTCTGCTTCCATGGCCTTCAAGTGGGCCTGGCCCTCAGAAGAGCAGCCCTGGCCACTCCTCTCGGTTTCTTCTGCCCATTGTGGGAGCAGCAGGTTCCCTCATGGGGCACTTCGGGTGGTCTTGTCCATCAGTGTCTGCTCTTCCTGTGCGCAGGGGCAGGGACGCTGCGTCCTCACTTAGCTGCCAACATGCTTGCCTGTTCACTGGGTCATTGCACACCTTGCTATTCTGGCAGAAGACAGACTCCCCCACTGTCGGGCTGCGCCAGCCTCGTGGGTACACCAAGGTGCATGGGAAGTGCGGAAGGGGCGCAGTGTGCAGAGCTCCCATGGATGCTTGTACTTGGGAGGGCTGTACTTGAGCATCCAGAGTACACATCCCCTACAGGGTGCATCTGGTTGGGCCATTGTCTAGAAGAAGAACGCTGGTAATGCCCTCACAGCGCGTTTCTCCAGCCCCTCAGTGTCTGCTCCGCTACATGAGATTTTGGGATGCTTGGTGCCACTGTCCCCACACCCAGCCAGTACTCCTGCTGCCCCATGAACGCTTGCTGCGCAGCCGAGGAGTGCTACAAGCCCGTTCGGTGCTCTAAGAACAGTTAGTAGGGCAGGTGCCAGAACAAGGGCTTGGTCATTGTCAGCTTCATGTTGTCAGTGATTCTCGTGGTCTCTGAATGAGCAGTCTCTCTAAGTGACCCCTTTCCAGGGCCCAGGTGTTTCCTTTCAGAGGTCAGGGCATCCTAGCAGCCAGCTCTGCTGCTGGGTTGCTGCAGTGCGGCAATGAGATGAGACCCATGCAGGGCATTATCAGTGTTATTGGTGCCTTGCAAGGCCCTGCGCACAGCTTGGCGGTGTCTCTGCTTGGCTGCAGTGCTGTGATTGTGTGCCACAGCTGATCAGTACCCCCATTTTAGAAAGTGTTCCAGGTGTCTGTAGGCAGAAGCTGGTTGATTTTGGGGAAATGCTGGGAAAAGAGAGGAGAAAGTTGGGGGACACATGGAGTTTTTGCCATTAGTTGAGTACCGCCATACCTTCAAGAGCCTTTGCAGGTTAAGGAACTGGGCGGAAGCACCCTTTAATGCTTCCAGCATAACAGCTGTCCTCCTTGCTCCTGTTCATCTTCCCACAGATTTTAACATACTGATCCCCTCAGTGGCTGATGTCCCAGACAAAGGGAAGAGAAGTGCTCGCAGTAGGGAAATTGGGGCAGACAGCTCCTGGCACGGTTAGAAGAACAGGGGGGTCTGATTTAGGGAGGTTGGGATGCAGTCAGGCCTCCTTGTACAGGGGAATTGTGGGCTCTGGCATAAAGAGAATGGGTCCCACAGAGCCTGTGTGGGGGGGTGTCACCATAACTCCGTGAGGCAGGGGGATAGCAAACAGAATTGCAGGGGAGAATGCAGAGATGTTGGAAGCCCCTGGCGTGTGCAGTAGGCTGAGCTCGCAGAAGAAGGCTCTGCCAAAGCACCATTCAGGTTGCAAACTGAAGCACTCGGAAGTTCACCAGAGTTGCAGCAATTAAGGCTGCCACCACTCCCCTGCTGCCAAATTTCCAAGTCAGTGGGGAGCCCCCCAGGCTGTTTGACGTGGCCCTGCACACTGGTCCAGCACGTGAGGTCAGTCCAGAACGCCAGGGTCTGTCCACAACCAGACCCCGTGCACAGGGTTGAGCTGGCACATGGCATTGGGTGCTATGTCAACAGACTGACTCCATGTGCAGGATCTGTCTTCTTGACCAGCCAGTCCCACTTCTCTCACCCTTCATTCCGATGATCCAGTCTGCTCTCTCTCTCTGTGGTCCCTCCTTTGCCCCCTCTGCATTCATCTCCACCTCCTCCATGCCTGGGTGACAGCAGCATTGGTAAGAGTGCAGGAAAAATAGGTTTCCTGCTCTCCCGCTTGCTCCTATCATGGCCAAAGGAGCTATTACACAGTATATGCAAGCTTGTCCCTGGACCAGAGGAGGCATGCTCAGTTGCTCTGTGGCAGTTGTGCCATGCAGTCTAATAACTACCAGCGGAAGGGAAGGGAAGAAGCCCACTCAGCAGTTCTGTGGTGCTGGTGTACGTGCATCCTGCTCACGTGCGGAGCTGCGAGA